CTTTATGTTCCTTTCACATTACTCTAATGGCAAAGTATATTTTGTTTGTTGAACTGTTGCTTTCCTCCAGCCTAACAGAATTGAGCTAATTTGAGACCACACCAAAGAACAAACATGAAGGTTACTTTATTATTCTTTTAGATGGACAAAGACATAAAGTCCAATCTCTTTATAAATCTTAGATAATGCATCAACATACTGATAGGAAATACTTGAGTTCGCAAGTAACCCTAAGGGAATACTTGTGTTCGTAAGCAAGCCTATCACTAATTGGAGGAAAACAGCGAGAAATAAGCAAAACCTGGGCGAAATCAGCCCCAAAACGATAGATTGCAATAAGGGAAGCTAAGCAAAACAACACAAAAGCAAGATACAAGTGATCCTCAATTCGAGAGGAGGATCGTTCTCTCCCAATCTCTAGACAAGATGCCTAGATCCCAAGACGCCAAAGAAATTCCAAGAGAAGAATAAAACAAAGCATGAAAACTAGCCGTAGACCAATCTCCTTCATAATACCATTAGTTTCCTAATACAAACCTAATTCAAATCTATCTCATTCAAAAATTCCCTCTCTCCCCTAGATGCCCACTCCTTCCCAAAAAACCCTGGTTTTGGATTTTGTTTTTCTTCACTCTATTATGTGGTTTAGACTTCCCAACTTGATTGATGATAAGAAAATCATATGATATGTCAATTTTGATATAAAAAGTCTTCATGTTTTAATGTTTTTGGGGATGATCATTTATTTTATTAAGTTATAGATTTTCACATTAAGCTTTTGTTTTATTTGTTGAAGGTTTCTACTGAAATTATCTCACAGTTGTTATTTATATACATCTCCAGGTGACAACTCAACACAACTTGGATGGGAGTGAAAATATAGATAGATAGCATGTTGGATTAGGATGTATAAAGTAATAGTCGTGAGTTATTTCTTTATATTTTCAGTTTAAACACCTCAGGGAGAATCATCGCAATTGGCTTTGTTCATTCTGAATGATTATTCTTTATGTTCCTTTCACATTACTCTAATGGCAAAGTATATTTTGTTTGTTGAACTGTTGCTTTCCTCCAGCCTAACAGAATTGAGCTAATTTGAGACCACACCAAAGAACAAACATGAAGGTTACTTTATTATTCTTTTAGATGGACAAAGACATAAAGTCCAATCTCTTTATAAATCTTAGATAATGCATCAACATACTGATAGGAAATACTTGAGTTCGCAAGTAACCCTAAGGGAATACTTGTGTTCGTAAGCAAGCCTATCACTAATTGGAGGAAAACAGCGAGAAATAAGCAAAACCTGGGCGAAATCAGCCCCAAAACGATAGATTGCAATAAGGGAAGCTAAGCAAAACAACACAAAAGCAAGATACAAGTGATCCTCAATTCGAGAGGAGGATCGTTCTCTCCCAATCTCTAGACAAGATGCCTAGATCCCAAGACGCCAAAGAAATTCCAAGAGAAGAATAAAACAAAGCATGAAAACTAGCCGTAGACCAATCTCCTTCATAATACCATTAGTTTCCTAATACAAACCTAATTCAAATCTATCTCATTCAAAAATTCCCTCTCTCCCCTAGATGCCCACTCCTTCCCAAAAAACCCTGGTTTTGGATTTTGTTTTTCTTCACTCTATTATGTGGTTTAGACTTCCCAACTTGATTGATGATAAGAAAATCATATGATATGTCAATTTTGATATAAAAAGTCTTCATGTTTTAATGTTTTTGGGGATGATCATTTATTTTATTAAGTTATAGATTTTCACATTAAGCTTTTGTTTTATTTGTTGAAGGTTTCTACTGAAATTATCTCACAGTTGTTATTTATATACATCTCCAGGTGACAACTCAACACAACTTGGATGGGAGTGAAAATATAGATAGATAGCATGTTGGATTAGGATGTATAAAGTAATAGTCGTGAGTTATTTCTTTATATTTTCAGTTTAAACACCTCAGGGAGAATCATCGCAATTGGCTTTGTTCATTCTGAATGATTATTCTTTATGTTCCTTTCACATTACTCTAATGGCAAAGTATATTTTGTTTGTTGAACTGTTGCTTTCCTCCAGCCTAACAGAATTGAGCTAATTTGAGACCACACCAAAGAACAAACATGAAGGTTACTTTATTATTCTTTTAGATGGACAAAGACATAAAGTCCAATCTCTTTATAAATCTTAGATAATGCATCAACATACTGATAGGAAATACTTGAGTTCGCAAGTAACCCTAAGGGAATACTTGTGTTCGTAAGCAAGCCTATCACTAATTGGAGGAAAACAGCGAGAAATAAGCAAAACCTGGGCGAAATCAGCCCCAAAACGATAGATTGCAATAAGGGAAGCTAAGCAAAACAACACAAAAGCAAGATACAAGTGATCCTCAATTCGAGAGGAGGATCGTTCTCTCCCAATCTCTAGACAAGATGCCTAGATCCCAAGACGCCAAAGAAATTCCAAGAGAAGAATAAAACAAAGCATGAAAACTAGCCGTAGACCAATCTCCTTCATAATACCATTAGTTTCCTAATACAAACCTAATTCAAATCTATCTCATTCAAAAATTCCCTCTCTCCCCTAGATGCCCACTCCTTCCCAAAAAACCCTGGTTTTGGATTTTGTTTTTCTTCACTCTATTATGTGGTTTAGACTTCCCAACTTGATTGATGATAAGAAAATCATATGATATGTCAATTTTGATATAAAAAGTCTTCATGTTTTAATGTTTTTGGGGATGATCATTTATTTTATTAAGTTATAGATTTTCACATTAAGCTTTTGTTTTATTTGTTGAAGGTTTCTACTGAAATTATCTCACAGTTGTTATTTATATACATCTCCAGGTGACAACTCAACACAACTTGGATGGGAGTGAAAATATAGATAGATAGCATGTTGGATTAGGATGTATAAAGTAATAGTCGTGAGTTATTTCTTTATATTTTCAGTTTAAACACCTCAGGGAGAATCATCGCAATTGGCTTTGTTCATTCTGAATGATTATTCTTTATGTTCCTTTCACATTACTCTAATGGCAAAGTATATTTTGTTTGTTGAACTGTTGCTTTCCTCCAGCCTAACAGAATTGAGCTAATTTGAGACCACACCAAAGAACAAACATGAAGGTTACTTTATTATTCTTTTAGATGGACAAAGACATAAAGTCCAATCTCTTTATAAATCTTAGATAATGCATCAACATACTGATAGGAAATACTTGAGTTCGCAAGTAACCCTAAGGGAATACTTGTGTTCGTAAGCAAGCCTATCACTAATTGGAGGAAAACAGCGAGAAATAAGCAAAACCTGGGCGAAATCAGCCCCAAAACGATAGATTGCAATAAGGGAAGCTAAGCAAAACAACACAAAAGCAAGATACAAGTGATCCTCAATTCGAGAGGAGGATCGTTCTCTCCCAATCTCTAGACAAGATGCCTAGATCCCAAGACGCCAAAGAAATTCCAAGAGAAGAATAAAACAAAGCATGAAAACTAGCCGTAGACCAATCTCCTTCATAATACCATTAGTTTCCTAATACAAACCTAATTCAAATCTATCTCATTCAAAAATTCCCTCTCTCCCCTAGATGCCCACTCCTTCCCAAAAATCCCATGCGAGCCCCATATCTGAGCGGAATCAAAGGGGGCGGAACCTTGTTCCGCCTCCTGTAATATCGAGCCAGCCTCTGGGCTGGCTCCTTGGCCGGTTCAGGATGAACCGGCCTATCAATACCGTCATCCCAAAGAATCACCTTATCCTCAAGGTGAAAACTAGGAAACTGCTGTTTCACCCTCTCGTACGGCTCCCATGTGGCATCGTAGTCCAGTAGATTCTTCCACTTGATCATCACATCTTTTGCTACCTCTTCTTTTTGACGAACCCCCATCAAGTCTAAGGGTTCCATAATCACCTCAAAATCCTTTGTAAATGTGGATGGTAACTCGGAGCTGGCTGTGTAATCTCCAATAGCTCTTCTCAGCTGTGACATATGAAAAACTGGATAAATAGTCACCGTGGGTGGTAGTTTCAGCCGATATGCTACTGCTCCGATTTTTTTTCTTCAATATTTCATAAGGTCCAAAGTATCTTGGAGCGAGCTTTTCATTTCTCCTGTTGACGATTGTCTTCTGCCGGTATGGTCGGAGCTTTGAAAACACTTTCTCTCCTGCTTCAAACTTGATGTCCTTCCTATGCCCATCAGCCTGTTTCTTCATAATCTGTTGAGCTCTCAGTAGATGTTTCTTCAATTCCTCTAACACTCGATCCCTCTCCTCCAAGTACCCCTCCACTGAAGAAACTGGAATATTGCTACTCCCAAAGTGCACTAAGTGAGGGGGTCCCTTCCATACAGAACCTTGAATGGAGTCATCTGTGAAGCCGAGTGAAAAGAGGTGTTGTACCAATACTCTTCCCAAGTCAGCCACTTGGCCCAAAGCTTGCGTGTCTCCGACACAAAACATCTCAAGTAGGTCTCTAAGCTCTTATTGACCACCTCCGTTTGGCCATCTGTCTGCAGGTGGTAAGCGGTGCTCCTCTTCAGAGTTGTCCCCTGTAATCTGAACAATTTCCTTCAAAAATGACTGAGGAAAACCTTATCTCTGTATGACATGATCGCCTCTGGTACGCCATGCAATCTGACCACCTCTTTAATGAAAGTTGAAGCCACTGTCACCACGGTGTAAGGTTGTCGGAGGGGGATGAAATGAGCATACTTGCTCAATCTATCCACCACCACCAAGATTACTGTGAAGCCTTCTGAAAAGGGCAACCCATCTATGAAATCAATGGATATCTCCACCCATACTCGTCCCGGTAGCGCCAACGGTTGTAATAGTCCCCCTGCTGACATAGCCAAATATTTGTTCCTTTGACAGATCTCATACCTTGCCACCATCTCCTCTACATCTCTATGCATTCCCTTTCAGTAAAGCTCGACTGCTAGTCTATTGTAGGTCTTCTGCAGGCCCCCAACTGCGCTTCCATGAAATTTCTAGAGTAAATTTGCGATGTGGATCGAGGTACTGAGTATCTCAAATCTTCCCTGGTACAGCAGTTTGTCTCCCTCTAATGAGTACCATGGATGGCTACCCTCTTTCAGCAAATATGACATGATCCTTCCCAATTCTTCATCTCTTGCACTTTCTTCCTTGATAGCCTCCCAGTCAAGCATCAAAGGAACATATAGTGTCACCGTCTGCAGCTCCCCTATACATCTGGACAAAGCGTCTGCCGCCTTATTCTCCACCCCTGGTCTATTCTGAATCTCAAAATCCTACCCTAGCAACATGGACAACCACCTTTGATGCTCTTTCGTCACCGTCTGTTGTTCCAGCATGTATTTCAGGCTTCGCTAATCTGTCTTGACAATGAAATGTCTCCCAAGCAGGTAGGGCTGCCACTTATAGATGGCCAAGACAATGACCATTAATTATCTCTCGTAAACTGATTTCAGTCGGGCTCTAGCAGTCAATACCTGGCTGAAATAGGCCATGGGTCTATAACTCTGCATCAGTACTGCACCTAGCCTATACTCGGAAGCCTCTGTCTTCACAATGAAGGTCTGAGTGAAATCTGGCAAGGCTTGGACTGTTATCGTAGTCATCGCCTTCTTCAAGCTCTCAAATGTTGATGTGGCTGCCTCCCCACATAGGAACCCGTCCTTCTTCAACTGTTCAGTGAGTGTCCATGCTACCTCCTGTAGTAACCCGTCGGTCCTAGGAATCCCCTCAATTCCTTCAGATTTTTCGACATTGACCACCTTATCATTGCTTCAATTTTGGACTAATATACTGCAACTCCTTTTTTGACACCACATGGCCCAAGTACTCTACACTGGCTTGTGCAAAGCATTATTTCTTTAAATTAGCCCTCAAATGGTGCTCCTGCAGTACCTCCAACACCCTCTTCAAATGCTCCTAGTGCTCCTCTTCTGTCCTATTATAGACCAGAATGTCGTCAAAGAACACCAGTACAAATCGTCTGAGATAAGGTTTGAAAACTTTATTCATAAGGCCATGGAAAGTAGCTGGAGTATTGGTGAGGCCAAATAACATCACCAGGAACTCATAATGTCCTTCATGAGTTCTAAGGGCCGTTTTGGGTACATCCTCCTTCATTCGGATTTGATGATAACCTGATTTCAAGTTTATCTTGCTGAATATCACCGTCCCACTCAATTCATCTAACAGCTCGTCAATGACTGGTATAGGAAACTTGTCAGTTGCAGTTTCCTTGTTGAGTGCTCTGTAGTCCACACAAAAACGTCAGCTGCCATCCTTCTTTTTCACCAATAGAACATGGCTCGAAAAAGGGCTGATGCTGGGTCTGATGTTCTCTGCCTCCATCTTCTCTCTAATCAACCTTTCTATTTCATCATTCTAGAACTGAGGGCAGCGATAAAGTCAGACACTAATGGGCGACACTCCCTCCTTCAACACAATGGCATGCTCCTGTTCCCTCTGTGCTAGCAATCCCTGAGGTGGCTGAAACACCTCTTGGAACTGCTGAATCAACGACTGAATGGAGTGGGGTATGACTCCTCCCTCCTTCAATCTTGCTCCCTCCAAACTGTGCAACTCCACCAAATACCCTCCGATTGCCAATTGGATATCTCTCACCATCGTTTTAAGAGAAACCAGGGATTTGGAAAGCCCTGCATCCCCCTTAATCACTACCTTCCTTCCATCCACCTTCAACTCCATCGTGAGTGCTCCCCAATTCTCTATGGTGTCACCCAAAGTTTGCAATCATTTCATCCCCAGAATAACGTCCGTGCTCTCAAACTCCAGTGGAAGAAAGTCCTCCCTCACCTGTATCCCCTTGATCGTCAGTCGCACTCCTTTGCAAATCTCCTGGCCTTTCTCCACATTCCTCGTGCCCATCATCACCCCGTAATAGCCGGTGTCCAGTAATTTCACTCCCAGTTGGTCGACGACCTGGGTGGAAATGAAATTGTGAGTAGCCCCACTATCAATCAGCACCACAACCTCCGGTCTTCTATCTCTCCCTTCACCTTCATAGTGTGATTCGTAGTGAATCATACCAGTGAGTTCAGGGAGACCTCAACCAGATTTTTATTATTTTAAAAATAGAAACATAATATAATAAACAATTAATATTGATAATTTCTTACGTTATAAGTAATAAAATATTTTTTATTTTTAAATTATGAACATGCAAAAATGTGAACGATAAGATGCGGTTGTAAAATTAAGAAGAATCAATCAATGAATGATTATATCACATGAAGAATCATAGAAACCTATATTGAAATCAATATAATTAAAATTAAATTTAAGTGACTATATATTTATAACAATAGATAAAAAAATATATAAATTTGATGAGTATACAATGTTAGTATAAGTAAGAGAGAAAGGAGAATGAATAAATTAAAGGTGATGTGAACAAAATTTTTTAATGATAGGTTGCATATGTCTAACATTTCAATATAAATAACTACAAATTAAAATGCATAAAAACATATTGCAAAAAATTATGATAACTTTAAGGATGATAACAAGATATTTTCAAGAAAAATACTGGGTGATTTGCCACACGTGTCAAATTCATATTGTTAGATTCAAGTCCATTCCCTCTAATTCTGCCACCTATCCTAAAATTATGCTACCCAATATGTTCTGAATATTGATATCTTCCACCAATAAAAGTGGTGCATCTCTTTGTTGTAGGCCACAGACGCAAAGCCAAACTCTCTCAACTCCTCCCCTCCCCTAATCCAATCAAGGAAAGAGTATAGCGTATCTTCTTTTTATACTTCTTCTAGCTCGAACAAAAGATGGAGAGGCTGATGAGTACAGAGATAGCACACCTCAAGGAGGTTTTCAACCTCTTCGATAAGAATGGCGATGGTATATGCAATAACCCACCTTGATCTTTGTGTCATTCTCTCAATCTCATTCTAATTGATTACTTCAAGGATTTTTTGAGTCTAAAGTTTTATATCTAGAACAACGAGCTTTTGTTTTTTGTAGACTTATCCAAGGATTCTTGCTATTGTGCTTAATATGGATGACAATCATTTCTTGGCAACTGTGTTTAATGAACAGATTTACTATTATGATGTGGTATATTCTTACTACCTAGAGTGCTTATTGGCTTCAGAGAATCCCTAATCAGACATCTTTTAATTAAAGACCATGAATTCACCGTGTCACCATAGATTGGTCATCCAATCAAATGGAACTGTATGTAAAAAAGATGCACTAATAGCGGCTAACTCTGTAATTATGATTTATTAAAAAAATCATCTAAACATAAAGAATGCATAACTCCTCACTAACTTGTTTTAATTTAGTTATCTTAGGCTTTATATATCTGTTTCAAGCAGTAAAATAAAAGCCATAAAGTATTAAAACTTAATTCCCTTTTAAAACTTAATTCCCTTGTCTGTTTCAAGCAGTACACGAACTAGCTGGTCACACTTATCTTATTATTTGTTGTAGTTGATGTAATAAAGATTTGATTGTATTACTATTATGTTCTGGGTGTATCTCAGCAATCTCCTCATCAGTCATGCCAGCCATATTGTTGAACAATTCTGTGATGTTCGCACCCATATAAGAATCTGGACCATACCAGATATTCAAATTGGGCACCTATGCAAAGGCCTGAAAGAAGAGCTAAGGATTTCAGTATATGAAACAATCATAAGTATATTAAAGTCAACATAGTAGTATGCTATAAGATGATCTCTCAGGTTATTTATCTGAAGGATAGTTTGCACTACGTTAGATGAAGTGCAGGTAATTGTAGGCACCATCTCATGTCCATAAGCTTTCGTCTCCAAGGAAGTATTAATGTAAATAACATGCAAAGAAGGTGATGATTTAGCATTTGTTCTTTATCATCTTGATGGCTAACGACAACCTGTTGAAGTTCATGATTGCCTAATGTAAAACTTGTTTAATCTTCCTCAATATCTGCTTCTTATCAACTTGCTCACTTGTAATATGCTTTTCAATATTCAGACCAGTTTACTTTGAATTTATTGATCAATGCAAACATTTGTTGGACAACTTATAATATTTATTTATTTTTTTCAGATACACAATGTCGGAGGATAATGAGAGTTTCTCAAGTGACGAGTATAATGATGGAAAATTGCGAAATATTAAAAAAATGGCAGCTTCACAATTTAGCAATATAATGCTTTCCTCAAGTTTTTTGCAAAATGATTACTTTTCACTTTATTTGAACAAAATGCCTTGCATGATAGCAGATAAAAGTGGAGACAGATGAGTACGGGATTTACTTTGTGGCCATCCCGTTAGGTTTCATAACATATTTAGGATGTCCCAAGTTATATTTGAACACTAAATGAATTGAACTCAATTATGACTCAAACAATTTTGAATAAAAAATTGAACAAATAAAAAGGGAGAACACTTATGATTGCAACAAAATTGAGCTGAAATGAATATTAAGTGATGATGACATACGAAATGAAATGAAGATGAATATAGGAGAACAACATTAAATTGAACTTCATATAAGAATGAAAAATTGCAAAAAAAAAAAAAAGAAGAAGCAAATGATCAAAATGATGAATTCATAAGGGATGTGTGATATTTAAGCATCAAGTGCCAAGCGTAATTATTCAAGCAAGGATCAAACGGAGAAATGCAATAGTATGCTCATGCTTAATAAAATAAAGTCTTCAAAGAATTCTCATTTTAATTGAGAAGCCAATTTATCATGCATGGCTCAAGTCATCTTTATATGACACCAAGGGATTTGTCACATTCAAATTGGATAATCTATGAGCAACAATATAAAAAACTTCAAATGAAGATCACCTGACTGATCAAAGCACAATCATCAATGAACTTAATTATTATGAAATCATGAGTTACTCGGACTAGTGCAAGTAATAATGCACTTATAAGTGACTACAAGGAGCTTGTAAACAATAATAGTTCACTAGCCAACATGCATGAAATTATTAGTGATGAATGTAGCAGTGCTTTTGCAATCAACAATAACAGAGATATTACAAAGATGGCCCATCCTCAATGAATACAAATACACATACATTATGCTATTTGCAAGTAATGATGCAGAACTCTTAAATCATCCTTGAGCAGAACCCAACTTAACCATGATAGTAAAATGGGTAGAGATGATTGTATCATAGGATTTCAAGCAAATATGTCCATTATCTACAAGAAATAAGGGTGCAATAGATGTGCAAAGAATGACATGATGAATACAACAACTACTTGTCAATCTATAGACATGAAAGAATTGGCGAGGAATGTCATTTGTCCGATGACCGGTGTTAACTTACAGAGGAGCAAATATCTTTTGCCATTATATCACCTATAAATGAGGGTATTTGATGTGTACGTTCACATTAGCCATGCATACAACCATCTGCTTGGATGCTAAAGTAGAAATGCTCACAAGCAATGGGACTGATAGGGACACTTGTGAATGACACATCACCTCTACAATCAACCACCATTCAATAGTCAGCGAATGTGATAGTCTATTGTAAGTAAAGGAGGATGATATACACCAATACAAATACCCGCGGGTTATTGTAGGATGATATGCAATACATACGGGTTCTCTATAAATGCAGATGTATGCACCACATTTCACTTGTGGATAGATGCATAAAGGCTTCAATAAATGCAGTATCCTATATTTAATTTTAGTTTGCGAATGAATACATCTACCTACAACGGTAGCAGATATATCGTAAGCACCAAATATCATAAGAAAATGCACAAAGAATGTAGTAAATTTAAATGCCTATAGGTCCTCACAGAAGACATGTTGTAGGAGACTTACCACGCATCAAGTGCCATCCTCAAGCAAATACAGAAGAGCTTCAACAACTACAAGTTTCTATAATCCAAAGCAGGAGATTTGTTAGTGCACTATAATCCACCTGCAAAAAGCAATAAGTAGTGCACGACAGTTTACCTGTACAAAGCAGCGAACAACTCAATTTAGAAGCTGCTAAGTAATTCCACCGAATATGCAACACCTATGCAAGCGGACAGAGGACGTTTACAAATATTTCAAAGTATCTCAGCACATGCACCGTAATTTGTATACACATAAGTACATAAAAGGGGTAAATATAACCAAACACTCGCATGAGTCCCGACGAGCGTGTCTTGGGTATACACGCAATGTCTAGGGATGCTGCGCGGGTCAATAAAGTTAAACCCGATCCTCCTAGGCATGTAAATAGGAGTCAATAAGGTTCAATAAATAACTGTTAAATGCCCTCAAACACCCGCATGGGCCCCGACGAACGTGTTATAAGTACACATGTGACGTTTAGGGATGCTGCACGGGTTAATAAGTGAATTCAAGTTCGAACATAATCTTTCTACACAGATCAATAAAAGTCGACAAGGTTTGAATTATCAAATAAATATACAGTTGTGGCGACTGATATATATATTTTAATACATTCATATTAGGCTTTCAAGGCTTATAATCAAGAGAATTCACTAATAAATGCATAAAGCCTATGAAACCCGATCCTCCTAAACAGATAAATAGGAGTAAACCGTGTTTGAATCATCAAACAAATATGTGATTATGTGGACTGATATATTTGTTTTAATACATTCATATTAGGCCTTTAAGGCCATAACAATAAAAATTTATAAACAAAGGCATAAAGTCTACAAAACCCGAGCTCCTATCGGCAAGTTGA